TTCGCTTTTGTCAGAGAGCAAGGGGAAAGCGCACTGTTTGCTGCATTCCTCACTCTGGCTGGGGAGCGCAGGGGAGGGGGACACAGACGAAACCTGAACCCCTCCCCTACCTGTGCCTGCTAAGCTGCAGCGGCCATGGAGAGGCACTTCTCACCTGGCCCGAAGTTGCTGCGGTGAGAGGGCGGAGGTAGTACTCTCCTCGGAGTAGTTTGCATACTTGAACCCCTCATCCCAGCCGCACCCAGAGCAATGATTTATTATGAAGCCTGTACATTTTCATGTTGTTTTCCAATAAACAAAAATTGAGTTATGGACTTGAGCAACACTGGGTAAATCTTGTACTAGGTCATGGTTTTTTAGACCTTTAAATTTTGTTGCTCTTTTCTGGACCTTCTCCAATTTCTCACCATCTTTCCTGAAATGTGATGCTTAGAACTGGACAATATACTCAAAAACAAAAATGCAGAAGTGGTTTAGCACACTATTAGTGACAAGGGGTTCTCATTTTTTTACCACAATTATAAAGTAAATCAATTGGAATATCAATATTGTACTTGCATTTCAGTGGATAGTATATAGACTAGTATGAACAACTCATTGTATGAAATATTAGTTTGTACTGACTTTGCTAGTGCTTTATATGAAGCCTGTTGTAAAACATAGCAAATATCTAGATGAGTTGAGATGCCACGCCTCCCTCCCCCAACTGATTGAGACTGAGATAGAGAATCCAACCTTCTGTTGGTACACAAACACGTTAGTGAATTACTCTGTTACTCCACCTATCAAGACTCAGTTAATTCTCTCAATTTGTTGCACACAGTTCAATTTCCTTGTTATACACTGTGTCTAGCAATGTTTGCTCTGCTGGGTGGGGCCTGATCATAATAATTGAACCATGTCAATGAAATGTTTACTCTCAACAAGAGAAAAGGGAGAGAAGTTCTTACATAAATAACTGAGCACTCTATGAAGTTTAGCTGATGCTAATCAGGAACTCATCTGTAGCTTTACTAGATGAGGAAGAAAATCTTTCTGATCTAAGTTACTCGCTGATGTAGTTAAGTTTCAACACTGTTGGGGAGACCCGCAGTTGACCTTGAAGTTGTGGACATCGCAGATGATGGACATTATCCCTGTAGTGTCTAAATTGGACCCTAAAACAAATTGGTAAACACTAATTACTCTGAGTGTTGCTCAGGGCACTGTCTTCTAAAGTTCTAAAAGACAGATTCATCCTTCTGCAGCTGTTTGTTATTCAATTTAT